CGCTCATGCTCTCTCTCATTCTCTCTCTCTCAAATAAATAAATAAAATCTAAAAAAAATATATATATATATTAAAAAAAAAGATTCACAGTAATTGGGCTTTTTGACAAACATTGAAATATTCAGGTTGTCACTCTAAGAATTCTAAATCATTATTATTGATAGCAACAGCCCTTCTTGACTTCTTATACTGTGAATGATCATGTTTTCAGGAGGAATCTGAGCCCCCGGCCCCCACCCCTACCCGAGCATTTATTTACCAGTCTTGTCAACCCTAGTGTGTAATGGCAACAAGCACCTGCTTTCTAAAGAAAGGTCAGGGTTGCTCCTTAGCCTGTTGTTTGACTGTCACCTTCTTACTGTGTGAATAGCTCCCTAATTGAATCCTGGCTAAAATATTTATTAAAAACATCTAGAAAATTCTTCTAGCCCTTCCAGACCTGGTACCTGTCAGAGGAGGGTGGCTGCATACATGGCAGCAGGAATTGCTCGTCTTTGAATTACTGTGATGTTAGGTTTTACACTTTTCATTTGTCTGCAACCTGCTGCTTTTTGGTCAGTCTTTTAAACAGCTTGAAAACTGGGTGAGCCCGGTGGCTAGCTGGTCTACTGTCACTCAAGCCCGGGGACCACACCCAAATGCACAATGAGAAGAGGTGGTTGTATGTGGTGGTCCCTCCTGCATGGCTGGGAAGGCCAGATCCCCTCGGACAGAGGATGCTCTACCCCGGCCACCTGCATGCACGTCTGCCCCACTCTTCCTGCCTTCTCTGTCCCACACGGTTGGCGGCCCCATAAAGGTTGGACACCTCGTTTTCCTTTCCGGGCGGGCTCCCAGAGCGCTTGCACCTCTCCCCACTGGACTTGTGGACGTGGCGCTGTGACCATTGGCCTCCGTTTTCTCCCCAAGACTGTGTGCTCCTCTCAGGCAGCCGCCCTACCCCGGGCTTTAGGGGGGTCAGGGAGAGCCGGCGCCCAGAGAGTAGGCCTGAACGCGACAGGAACCCAGTTCCGGTCCTCCCAGTCCCTAGGCATCTCCCCCCAGACTGTGATGCCTGAGAACCTGCTGTCACCAGTGCTTTTCTAGCCTGTCCACCAAAGAGGGACACTGCCATCCCCACCCCAGGTCTGTCTTTTCTCTGTTGTCCTGGTAACTAAAACCTCTGGGACACCAGACAAGAATTCACAGCTCCCGAGGAGAGTCTCCTGAGGGCAGAAAGTGAAAAGACCTTCCTTCAGCAAGAACTACTTAAGAACCCGCTCTGGAGCATACACCTGTGTTACTCCCTCATCTATTCTAGTAGAGACACAGGGGGACCCAGAGCTTTTTTAAATAAATGTTGAGTTTGAATTCTAGGAGCAGGTGGAAGAAACCAGCTAGCTTGTGTATCGTTTAAAGTTGCAGCCCGGTTTAGTGTTCACTTTGTGAAAATGCATCAACCCAGATACTTACGATTTGTGCGCTTTGCTTGCTAGGTATTATAATTACATAAGAAGTTTTTAAAAAACTGACCCCATGGAATTGGAACCTCACTCATCCCCTCACTACTTCTGCTAACGGTCGTCTGTGTCTCCTGACCTTACCCCGGCAGCAGTTGTCAAGTTTGCCTACAACGGGAAGGCTTGCTTTTAGGTTTGGTTTGATTTTTACCTTTACATCCATCGTGAACACTTCCCTCCTCGTGTCTCCACTTCACAGCGCGAACATTTCCTTCCCAGCCGGCCTCCGGTGTGGCTCCCGGGGCGTCTGCGGGGGAAGCAGACCAGGCATTGCAGCGCAGGCAGCTCCTCAGCCGTTGGCTACCGCTTCTGCGCCGGCCCTCCCTCTTCCTGCACAGGCAGGAGTCCAGGGGTGGGGGTCCAGCCTCGCTCCAAGTGTTCGGCTGTGGTCTGATGAGGGGTTAACACTTTGGGGGCGGCTGGGGAGCACCACACTGGCCTCGTGTCCCAGCGCTGTGCTTCGCTTTCATCCCTTTCTCCATCCCCAGTAACTCACCGAACGCGTACAACGCACCCTTGGCCTGATGATGTTGGGTCTCTTGGGATTGTGTTTTCCCCATGATAGCCCTCTGAGGGGATTCGAAAATAGGATTTTCAGTGGATATGAGAGATTATAATAAGATCCTAACCAGTTTCTACTGGATCCAGTGTTTGCACTGTCATCTGGACCAGTTAGCTTAGCTGTTCGAACTTGAAGTCACATCCCCTACAGGAGCCACTCAGCTTTACGCAAAGAGAAAATAAGTCCACGTAAAGAAGGACATCAGCTCTCCCTCTGCCTCTCAGGGAACCTATCTGAGGTATCCTATCTGCCACCCAAAAAATTACTACTTCTAATATTTTCTCTTCTTAAAGAGCCCCTAGCATAATGTCTGGCACTAGTAGGTACGTAGTAGTATTTAATGACTGAATGAAGAAGTTTCTGAAGATTTCTGCTCAGATGCTGGTAGGACTTCTTTTCAGAGAGGGAACAAAAAAGCAACTGGGCTGGTTTGGGAACATGGGGCACCCTCAGCAAACTTCAGACCCCTAAACCAGACCCTCCCATACTCCTCAAGTGAAAGGTCTTGCAAAATGCAGAGCTATTTACCGAGCCATAGTAAAGTAGTGAAATAGCGTTTTCACTCAAGAGTAAACTTCTGTTGTTGCCTCTGATCTGAACAGACGCCACATTGCTGGATTGTTCTTACCTCTCAGTCGGTTCAGAGTCACCCAGTAATGTCGTTCCGGACTCTGGATGTCCTTGGACCACCGAAGCATGTCTTTTGCGCGGCTGTCAGTTAGTACAAACTCTACAAACTTCCTCGTTAGGACATAGTAAGCGCTTCCAAAATAAATTGTTAAGTTATGGGGCGGTTCGTCCTTGAATCTTTTGTTTGGAGATACGTAGATATTTCCTTCAGGGGTGGATTCCGGTTGACTTTCACTTGTCTTGGAGTTCACGTTTGGTGGTTGAACTACTCCAGGAGTGATGTTTTTGTCATTCCATTTGCTTCTGATGTAGCGTATGATTTCTTTGTTGGTTTTTATTGGAAAATCCTGTCCGCAAAGGTTAATGACGTAGTTCCATTGAAATTTGGAATGGACCAGGTCTTTCATACAATTAATATCTGCCTGGAGTCTTGTGAAGCCAGTGTAAGCCACTCTTGCTCTCTTTGATGAAATAAAAATATTTTCAAAACAGTTAACCAGGGTTTGCATAGCAGTCTTGTACTTCTTCGGGGCCTTTTCATCAACATGAATACAGTAAACGTTTTGAGGCACATAAATAGCTCTGAGAAGCTGCACAAACATTGCCAGCTCCTTGTGAATTGTTATAATATATGCCAAAGAGAAATTGCTCTCTTCTGCAGACAAGGGTCTGGTTATGAAATGCAACTCCTGGGAAATCCTAGAGCAATTTCCTGGTGTGTGTAAATGAGCAAGAATTTGAGAACCATGAGGGTTTTTGCAAAATCTTGCAATTTGGAGGGCGGCCCCTTTCCCTTCAAATAAAGCTGAACACAGTTCGTCCGGATAAAAGCCACATTCCACTACTGCTGGGTAGGTGGGTTCCTCCTCTGCTTCCTCAGGGGTTGGAGTCAGTAAATACAGAAAAACGAAGATGCATATGCCTGCACACAGGAGGAGCCCGGGCTTCGTGGCTCGCAGCTGGCTCATGTTTCAGGCTCCAGGGGCCTTCTCATCACTACGGTGTGAAATGTTTTCCTTTAAGCTTCCTAAGAGAACAAGAGGGAGAATTTAGGGTGCGGCAGCCCTCCCCCAACCTGCAACGTGACTGAAGTGCACATATTTAAGGTGTATAACACGCTCAGTTTTTCTATACCTACACGCCCGCAAAACCATCACCACGGTCACCATGACAAGCATTCCCTTCACCCCTAAAAGTTTCCTTGGGCCCCTTTTACTCCACCCTGTCTCTGGCAAATCCATCAGTGGATTTGCTGGCATGTTCTGTAACTTTATATAAATGGAGTCCTACACTGTGTGCTTTTTGCTTGGCTTGTTTCACTTAGGATACTGATTTTGAGATTCCACCCACATCATTGCATTTATCACCGTCCTTGCCTTTTTACTGCTGAGCAGGATTCCATTGCGTGGGCATGCCACAGCTTCTCTGTTCATCTGTTGTGGACATTGAAATTGTTTCCAGTTTTAGGATATTACTAGATGCTATAAGCATTCACGCACAAGTCTTTGGCCCTTTGTTTTTGTTTTTGTATTTCAGCGGCTTTATTGAAAAGTATAGCCCTCAGCACCAAAACATATGGTAGTTGGTTAGGTGACCTCTGCCGACTCAGAATTAACACTGATGTATTCAAATTATTAAAATATATATCAGCCTTTGGGAAAACTGAAAAGTTATCCACAAATCACGTTTACAAAAGTAAAAGATACACTGTGGGTTTGTGGTTTATTTTCTAGTGCTTATTTATCCATAACATGATGTCAAAATTGGGCACAGCCATCCTGGATGGACTCAGGCTGCACATTGCACTGAGTAGCCATTTGTAATACTTGTGATGCTGGAGATCTCCCTCCATTCCCTGACATAATAGAAAATCTTGATGACTTACTTCAGCAAGCTCATAATCATGACGTTTGCGTACTTAAGACTTTGTTTTGGGGGCGCCTGGGTGGCTCAGCTAGGCTTGTGGTCAAAGGAAGAGAGTTAAGCATCTGCCTTCGGCTCAGGTCATGATCCCAGGGTCCTGGGATC